TAATAGATCATCCTTAAGGCGTTCCAGGCCAGAATAGCTATAGTTTAGTAGTTTCACAGTAGCTTTGCAGTTTCATCTGCCTCTGCTTCTCTCGAAGCAAACCTGTGTTCTACCCACTGTTCCTTAGCTAGACCTCATTTTTTACTGCCTTGATGTTCCTGCTCTTCCTCGTGCTATCAAAATTCAACTCATTTTTCAATACCTATATCTTGTACGCCAGTGATTCTGAGAGTGTTGTCCACATTCAGGGGAGTCCCCAGGAGTCTTTCAGGGGTCCACATGGTCAAACCTGCTTTCATAACACTAAGACATTAATTTCCTTTTTCACTGTGTGCAAACGTAAGTAAACCTGCTGACACCTTACTTAACGTAATCCAAAGCAGTGGCACCATGCACCTCCAGTACAAAAACCAGTTTCACTTAAGAATGTCCTTGATAAAGGCAGTAAAAATTATTAATTTTATTAATCTCAGCCTTCACAAACATCTTTATTATTCTGTGTCACTATATGGGTAGTACACAAAAAGGACTTGTGTGATTGAGTTGCAAGCTGAACAAACCACTTTTCATGGATTCCATTTTTGTCTGTAAGAAAAACTGACAGATAAACCAAGTATTCAGAATATTGAATATTTGGCATACATTTTCTTAAAAATTTACCGAGTCACCTATAGGAAAATAACTGATAGTATGCATTCCCAATGATAAAATTCAAGTCTTTAAGCAAAAAACTAGAACTTTGGAAAACTTGTATTCACCACTGTAAGCATTACATCTTCTCCATACTTGAAGACTTTTCTGATAAAACTAGTGGTAATAGGACCAAGTGAATTTTTTTTGATACTATATAATGAAATGTGACAACATTTGGAAGATCTGTATAATTCAGCAAACCAATATTTCTAAATGACCAATGCATGATGCTACAAAACTATACATTTAAAGTGCAAGACAGACCAATGGATTTTAATGTAACAGAATACTAAATGTTCACTGATATGATTTCAGTTTCCANTGTTGTTTGTTTTATTGTCCTTATTTTATAAATGGGGGAAATAAGTGTATCCTAACTTTGACAAGTTCTAGAACTTTCTAAAAGAAGTATAATCTATACTTGACCATCCTGCCATAATAGCTAAATTAAATGCTTTTATTTTTTTGTTAAATCTTTTTTTTATGGGAAATAATGACATTATTTTCCTTTCTAAGCTTTTAAGATAATGTGTTTCTTAAAAAACATGTGAAATGTATTGATTAGTTCCCTGGCTGTTCATCATTCCTGTTCCTAAAATCTCTAATTAAGAATTTAATCAGGTATCAGATGTTAAATTTCGTCAAAATAAAGATCACTTTTCCTTCATTTAACCATTTAGTTTTCATTAAACACATTTAGTTTTGTGGAGTTTTTTTCTTTCTGATAAAACTCGGATGATTCATTTCTTTCCCTGTAACCTTAGCTAAGTCACTTAGCTGGTCAAACTCTCATTTTCCCGAAATCAGACGGTTGGCCTAGAAAATCTCTCAGGTTTTCTTAGGTTCTAACTTTCTAAATTGTGCCTGAATTTTGTACAATACAGTACTGAATGTGGTGCCCATTGGCCACCAGAGGGCACTTTGTAGCCTGCCTTTTATGGCAATGACATAGAAAGTAAAGATAGGACTATATATATCTTTCTTAAATATTTATACTGTATTTCATCATTTTCGTTTGCAATTTTTTCATCATTTAATTTTGAATTTTTTCATTTTCTGCCATGGAATAGTTACATGAATTCAGTACATGGATTATCATGAAAATCATAATTGACTTCCATTAATTAAACTTGAACTTCTCTATTTTTTTTAATAACTGCATCAAGTCAGATGGTTATAATTTTTTATGATGGCCCTGCCCATTGATTCAGCTATTTTAACATTATTGTCATTTAATGTAGGATAGGCATTTATTTTGTTGATGGTACTATAAGTAAATAAACATTGAAACAAATGAAAGATATGTCAGTTCAACATATAGAAAACAGGCACTTTTTCTCTATTAATGAATAAATTTTATAATTAACCCCTCAGAAGCCTATTATTTTTATATCTCTTCTATGCCCTCCATTTGCCAATAATGCAGGCTTTTAGGACATGGTATAGTAAATATCTGAGATAGGAGACAAACTACTGTCTTTTCCACTCTGTTCTATATCATGTCACCTCTGATAAGACAATCAATAATTCTTCAGCCTTTTAGGTCTTATGTTCTCAACAGCCTTAATTAACAGACCTAGAGAATCGCCATTAAAAAGGACTGGGTACCGAGGAAATACCATCAGAAAGAACACAGAAGCATCTCTTTTGTTTGACCAAGGTTTGTTTAGTGTTCAGATGTTGTAAAGATAGGAACTTTTTTAAAGCAATTAGAAGGTTTTTTTTGTCATTAAGCACTGAACAAAGCCACTATTCTAAAACATTCATATTTTACCAATAGGAACAACATGCCAGAATTCCACAAATTACAAACTAAGTTGGTAAAGAAGAAAGGCGCGCGGGCATACGCCTGCCAGTGTAGCTGGAGAACTATTGAAGAGCTGACTGACCTTCAGACCGATCCTCAACTGCGCTGGGTTTGTGGTAAACATTAAGAATGCAGACTTTTCACATTCAGCTCAAATGCATCCATGACAGCAGTCTCCACTAATCATCGTAATATTTAGGTAAAGGTACATTGCAGTATCATGCCCTTTGGAAAAAGACAGGAAATTTCATTTAATGACTACAAATTTTTGAAGACCAAATGGACTTGTTCCCTTTTGACATATGCACATTTTACTTTGTAAGTAAGGTAACAGGTTATCTAAATTCTTCTTTACCAGCCTATCTCCTCCTAAATGGAAGTTTAATTTTGGAGTTTCATACAAATATATAGCCATTGATTAGCAACTGCAGTATTACTGACTGCTGATACACTTAGCATAAACATTCCTCATTTATAGCATTTAAAGGGGATAAAACCGGCCAATGCAGAGAGGTCATTGAGAGGTATACACATCACCCTCCTCTAATCAGAGCTGTTATTGCCAAATATCATAATTTAAACATGGCAGATACTATGTAAGCAGTGACTAACTGAAGGGTTTTCAGGAGTACAGCTATATTGTAAATGAAAACACTGCCTATTTCTGATCTTACCAACTTAAAAGCAATTTTATGTCCAATAATAAGTATGTATTACAAATTTTAGCTTATATCTTCTTTTTGTTCATTTAGATATCAAGTTCTTTAGTTTGAAATTTTAGCAAATATCCATTTATATATAAATTTTTGGGGGGGATGCACCTAAAATCACAAGGAAAGATGCCTAATACAGACAAGTCATTGTTGGATTTTCCGGCACTTTCTAGTCTTCAATGCCCAGAACTCCAATCAGGTAAAGGGAACCGCACGTAATGTATTTTTTCAGGCAGCCTGTTGATTTTTCTGATAGAATCAAATTGACATGCGATTTATTAGATGAGCGCATGAAAAGGGAAATAAAGCATCGCTGAACCAACCTGTTGGGCTCCTTCTTGGCATCACTGAGACTTGAGGAACTCTAGAATAGCACATTCAGGAAATCAGTTACCTTAAAATTACCAGCTCTCAGCCACCGTGGAAAGATTCTGGGGGCTTTCCAGCCTGCCAAAAGCTCTTTTTACTACATGTGTCTAATATGTAGTTCAAATGTGTGACACAAGACATGCTGAAAGGGAGTAATTGAAGCAAAGTTATGATCTGCTTAGTCTTATGCTGAATCCATTCCAACCACCCTACTTAAGCAAAGAAGAAAAATCTGGTCATTAAAATCCTTTTCCTAGCCATGACACATTTGCACATGTGTAAAACTTACTTTGGTAAGTCTAGCATTGTAACAATAAATCTCCTAGAGGCAAAGGCTCACATTTTTGTATTAAGAATATGTTTACAGATCTTATCTGTCAATAACAATGTTTTACTCCCTAAAATTTTATCACAGTGGAGTTGTATCCAGAAACAGGGGGATTTGGATTACAGTCACCTATTCCAAGAAAAGGCACAGCAGCAAGATCTACACATTCAGAACCCAGTGGAATTTGGCACGTTAGTCATAATGGGGATGTTTTCTTTTTATTCAAATGAACAAATTTACTAAATCAATTTGAAAATACATTTTCTTTTATTATTTCACCATAACTGTCCTATAACTTGGATATATTGCCCATGTTTAGCATTCCATAACAGTAATTATAATTCTGCAATGTCAGAAATGTATATATGAGTTCACATTTTTGTTGGCAATTTCCTTTTTAAACTTTCTAATATTGTACAATTTTTAATCTAAAATATAGAAAGAATATTATGTTTATATACAAATGGATAAATTATTACCAGTTGTAATTTAAGCCAAAATACAATTATTTTAGTATCAATGTAGAACAAAAGCATGGTTTCTTATGAACTATAATTTTAAAATGCAAGATCTATAAAACTTTCAAGATGTTTTGCCCATTTGTTTTCAATATTTATGATTTTCTACCTTTAGAAAGTATGTTTTGTCAAGCCAAGTAGCTACTTTATTTGAACGGTATTATACTCTCCAACCCTTATCTTACCTAGAAATGAATAAATAATAAATAGCATTACTCTGTATTTAGTTACTTTTTTATTGTATAGTAAAATATTCATATTGGGATTAATTTGAAATAATTTTGATAATTTATTTTAAAATCTCAACAAAAATGTTTCCAACCATCCAGTTGAACGGAGAATTTATTGATTTATATCGAGGAGGAGAAGCATGCCATAAGTGTGTGTGTGCGTGCATGTGTAACAAAACGTGGGTATTAAAGGAACAGGCCCAAGTGCCGTAAGAACAAACCATGTCCAGGCCTTGTATATTGATGTAGTAAACGTAGAATCCTTCTTTTCTTGGGCCAAAGAAGATGGCATCAGACTATGACTGAATTGCTTTCCCTTCTTTTCTTAGTCAATAGATCTGATATGAACTAAAGAAAAATATGAACTAAAAAGGTCTTTGTATCCAATAAGTACTGTGATGCTTAGCAGTAACTTTCAAATGCTGTTTTTTCTCATGTTTTAACAAAATCTCTACCAGCCAACATACTACCCCTAGTAATCAGCCTTACATATTGTTTAAAATAGTTCTTGAAGGGAAGAAAAGATTCAAAATATACAATCTCTTTAGAGATTTAACATCTTAAATGTATTTGGGTTTACACACCATTTTGTGCCCTATTTTAAAAGATTGCATGGGATATACAGATATACATGGGGTTAATAAATAAATTTGTTTTCAGACTTTCCCCAAATGCCTTAAGG